CTCTCCCCTCCTGGCACTTACGGCAGTTCCTCTCGTCCGTGCCGTCCTGGCAGTCCCGCCGGCCGTCGCACCGCTTCCAGTTGGGGATGCACTTGTGCAGCTGCTGGCACTCGAACTCGAAACTGCTGCAGCGTCCCGGGACCGCCGGGGACGTTGGGTCCTGCACACAGCGGCGAGTGAGGAACCCCCCAAAGCATGGGCCAGGCTGCCGCTGCCACCAGGAGGGACCGAAACCTGTCCCCAGGTCCCGGCTCCACTAGATGGCAATCTCTTCCCATCTAGCAGGTAGACGGCTCCTGCTGGGAGGATGCCTAAGCCATCCTCGCTCCTGCTGGGAGGATGCCTAAGCCATCCTCGCTCCTGACTGCAAAGGGCTGGGAAAGCAGCTGGTTTGCAGGGGATGTCCTGCACTGGCTCAGCTCGGCAGGCCTGGGCAAGGACCGCAGTGAGAAGAAACCCTCTTTTATTTTCAGTGTAGGTGTGAACTGGAAAACCACCCTGCAGCCCTGCTCTCCGTGCTCCTACGCAGTCTGAGACACGGCATTCGAGCAGGGACCTGCTGCAGCCGTAATTCAAGCAGCAGGAGCCAGACCAGTGTCCCAGCTGGGGGCAGGAGGGCTGACCCCAGGGAGAGAGGAGACGGTGGGCTTTTACACTGCGGTGAAATCTGGCAAGGCTTTGGACTGAAAGGCCAACAGGCCTTGTGATCCTACAGAAAAAGGAGAGGGGTGAGGAAAAGAAAAGCTTACGTGAAGTGGGGCAGGCTTCCTCATCGGAGCCGTCGGTGCAGTCCTTGTACCCGTCGCAGACCCAGCTGTTCGTGATGCAGGCGCCGCTGTTGCAACGGAAGTGATTAGCTAAACACGTCAGTGGGATCGATGTGGTAACGGGGCGAACTGGAGAACCTGAAAACACAGTGTCCTGAGCTGATCAGAGAGGCCTGCTCCTGTGTACGGGCTGTAAGCTGTGCCTGTTCCCAGCAGACCAGAAGCCTACTGCCAGAATAGGGAAGAGGGGAGCAGGCAAGGCACTGCAAGCCTGATGTTTTTATCTGCACAGCTCCCAGACAGAATTTTAAAAACACAGAATAAAAAAGATGCATGAGAGTGCACACACAGCCCATTCATGGGGGATTTCTGGAGCCACCAGGGCTGGTGCAGGCTGTCCCCAGCATCCCGGCGGGCGGGCATCTGATGCTGAGTGGTCCTGCAGCACGGCGCAGCCCAGCCTTGCTGAGGGCTTCCACAGGCAGAGTGGAGCAGAGGGTTGTGTGCCCTTACCCTCGCAGTCCTTCTCATCCGACCAGTCCCCGCAGTCGTTCTCCTCGTCACACTTCCATCGGTTGGGGATGCAGTGCCCGTTCCCGCATTGGAACTGGTAGTACCGGGAGCAGTTCGGGGCCTCTGTCAGGTTTTCTGACAAGGAGAAGAGAGTCCTGTGAGCCCCAGCACTGCCTCACCAGCCTTCAGCACCGCTGAGGTGTGGGAGCGTCTCAGGCCAGACTGTGGCTGGCCCAGAGAGCATCACCCTATTTGCTCCAGCCATCCCCATTCCTCACAGCCCCCGCTAGCATGTTGCCACCAGTATCATGTCTGTGTGCTGGGTGCTTCGTGGCCAGCCACCACCTATGATCTCAGCAGCAGAGCTGACAGCAACATTCAGACAGAGCACAGCACAAATGGAGAAGCAAGCCCTGCAACTCTGAAATGAAGACGCAGCTGCTTCGTCTGGCTGGGTACAGCTCCTACCCAGGGAACAGTGGTAAATATTGAGCTTGGCTGAAAACTGCCTGTCTGCTTTGGGCTGGGAGTCTGTGGAGTAAATACGGTCACATATGACATAGTCAACCACAAGATGTGCCAGCCGTATCGGATTTTCAGTGTGCTTCACTTTACCTACCTGTAATATGAGGAAAATGATACTGATCTCCACATAAGACGCACTGCTATGTGCAAGGAGGATGCTACACACACACGTATATGTGTGTACACAAGCACCTATGTAAAACATGAAGAAGCCAATATGCTGTGCTCCTGAAATTCAAAGGATGCTGGAGCTAAGGCGACAAGAGACCCTTGAGGTACTGCTCACCACAGTTCGCTTCGTCAGAGTAATCGCCGCAGTCATCCATCCCATCGCACTTCCACACCAGGCTGATGCACACCCCGTTCTGGCACTGGAAGCTGAACTGGTCACAGGTCCGGTGGAACTCAGGGTCCTGGGCTGCAGGGGTGGCACAGAGGGACATCAGGGGTTTAGTGTACAGACCAAGGGCTTGAGGGAAGTTCGTCACTGAGCAGGAAGGAAGGAGCACATGCGAGGCAATCATGGACAAGCAGAGTATTACAGTCCAGGGCCACCTCTTAGACTTAGCTTTCTGGTATCTCCAGGAAGGCACTCTCCTCTCCATGCCTCCGGTTTCATTCTCTATCTAGCCTTCCTTTTGCAGAGAGGCACAATATCCCACTTACAGCAGCCAGCATAGTTGGCATCTTCATCTGATCCATCTCGGCACTGGATGATGCCATCGCAAACCATGGAGTGGAACAAGCACTGCTGCCGGTTCTTGCACACAAAATCCATGTAGCGGGTGCACAGGGGTTCTGGAGAAAGAGGAGGTCAGGAGGGAGGGGATGGCACCTCTGCTGTGCTTGGCGGCAGG